TCAGAAGGTCCCACCTGACTCCGGGAGACAGCGACCGTCATAAGTATGAGTCGGTGGCCAAGCATCTGAATTTTGATTACGCGACCATGGGGATGCTGCAACGGCTGTAAGTGTGAAAAACGGGCCCAAGTAATTTTTTCCCCGGTGCTGTTGGGACTTCAGACGGTCACTAAATGAACTGTTGTAACTCGAGGACTGGTGTGCAGCTCTCAAACTCTTCTGCCTTTGGATCAAATGTGTTACATCAGAAAAGATGCTTCCAGGATCCTGATTTCTGCCGTGTGGCAAAATACAGGTAGTCCTCGACTTACAACGGTCCATTTAGTGACCGTTCAAAGTTACAACAGACTTAGGAGTCGCTTTTTCAGCCTTACGACCCTTGCAACATCCCCATGGTCACGTGATCAAAATCCAGGCGCTTGGCAACTGACTCACATTTACGACGGTTGCACTGTCCCAGGGTCCGGTGCTCCTCTTTTGCGACCTCATTACAAGCAATGTCAATGGTGAGTCCAGATTCACTTAACGACCATGTCAGTAACTTACCAACTGCTGTGTTTGAATTAACAATTGTGGCCCAAACGGTCGTAAAACGAGGCAAAATTCACTTAACAAATGTTTCGCTTAGTAAAACAAAGTTTGAACTCGATTGTGGTTATAAGTCAAGGATTAGTTGTAGATATAATAACAATACATAATATAAACCTTCCGCCAGGCTATCCAGTCTGCATCTTATGACGGACTCACAAAGTAAAATATTTTAATTTTAATCTCTTTTCTAAAGAAAGCAGAGAGAGAAAATAGGGGAATTATCAGATCTGCATATCCAACCCAATGTATTTATTTTTAATAAAAAAATAAAATTTAAAATTTGGGAATGGCACCTTTCCTGGCACTGCATACCAAATATGACGAATGAATGAATGAAAACAGGTCGTCCTCAACTTACGACCGCAATTGAGCCCAAAATTTATGTTGTTAAGTGAAACACTTGTGAAGGGAGTTTTGCCCCATTTTTCTGGCCACCGTTAAGAAAACCACTGCAGCTGTTCATTTAGTAACACAGTCATTAAGTGAATCGGGCTCCTCCATTTGACTTTGCTAGTCAGAAGGTCGTAAAAGGGGATCATGTGACCCCGGGACACTGACCGTCATAAATATGAGTTAGTTGGCAAGCGTCTGAATTTGGATCACAAGACCATGGATATACTACGAAGGTGGTAAGTGTGAAAAATAGTCCCAAGTCCTTTTTCTCCTCATTGTCGTAACTTTTCAAGGGTCACTAAATGAACTGTTGTTAAGTCGAGGACTGTCCTTTTGCAGAATCACCTCTGCAGAACCTCAGATGAACTCCAGGAGGCACTACTGAATAGACATTTCCCCAAACTTAACTCTGCCCTGCCCCCCGGTGGCCGTTGCAATCGTTGCAACCCAGATCTGATTTCTTTTAGGTAGTCCTCAATGTACGACCCGCTCATTCGGCAAGTTCCAAATGGCCACTGCACCGAGGGGTGGGGTGGGGTGGGGGGCAAGGGGGGGTTATAACCTGACCTCGGTCGAGTCCATTTTTTTTTTCAGGGCCGTTGTAACTTTGAACCGTTGCTAAACAAGGTTGTAACGTCAAGGGCCCCCCTGGGCCACAACGCTGCAGACGAATGCACAATGTTTGGAGTGAAGAGGTGGGAGATCCCATTTCCAAATGCTGCTACTTCAAATTTAAGGAAATCTGCCCACCCCCTCCCCTAAATTCACGCGGCTGCCCCCACCCCAACCCCCAAAACACAGGCAGAACGCAGAGAGGGTTCTTAAGGTATTTTATTGGTGTTTCTGTGCAGGGAAATTCACCTGGCCCCCAGGTGGTGCGTCTCCAACGCCTTCCCCAATGTGTGGGGCGCCCAGAAGCCCCCTCCCCTCCTTGCAATTGCTGTAGTTTGATCTTAGCCCCTCCCACCGCCCCAAAAACACAAGCCCCCCCCTGTGGCTTCCCTGGCAGGTAATAGAAGAGGAGGGGGCTGCAAACGATCCCTCACCTCCCCCCCCTGGCACCGTCCTGACCCCTACCCTGGCAAAGGGGTCTCCAACCCCCCTCCCCAGAGGTTAGCACCATGGAACGACAGGATTGTAACGACCTTGCAAGGGGGCCCTGGCAATAGGTGGGTGGGGGGTCTTCCTTGGAAATGGGTAGGGGGGCCAAATTGGAAAAGAGCCAATCCTTAGCCCCCATTGGAATCACGGCAAGGGGCACATCCAACAGGCTTTGGAGGGGCAGTGGAGAAAAGGGGGTGCAGGGTGGGGACCCCACCGTATCTCCCCATATCCCCCCCCACATACCCCGCCCGTTGGCACTGCTTCATCTTGCATTGAAGTCGTCCGTCCCCAATACCAGCCTGGGTACCCCACAAATGGGGTACCCAGAGTGAGTGGGGTTCAGTTGAGGGGGGGGGCACAGCCACGAAAGGAACCTGGAAGACCCCCCCGGAAGGCGGTGGAGACCTGATTGGCAGGCAGGGGGTGGGGTTAAGTGCACTTGGTGCTACTGGTGCAGAAACTGGGGTGTGCGGGGAGGCGGGGTGGGGACAGACACAGGCTGCCATAGGGGTCCCCCCAAATATCTCGGGGTGGCATTTCTCCGCCCCTTGTTTTGTGCTCGCCACAAGATCAATGTTCTCGTCGGCTTCCGGGAAGTTCTGAAGTGGTCGAAAAAGTCAAGATGGCAGCCAAGATGGCCGCCAAGCCCCGCCCACTTTTTTTTTAATGTGCTCCTCCCCGAATTAACAAGACTTTTTGATTCTGTGCTAAATGAAACCAGGATTCGTTCCCGTAAGCTGTTTTTTCTCCTTTGCATTTTCTGAATTCAATAAGAGGTAAGCCTTCCCACTTAACGACGGCTCACTGAACGACCAAAGTTACAACCGCAGTGAAAAAAAGTGACTCGGGACCATTTCTCGCATTTATGACCGTGGCAGCCCTTATCCCTGATCGTGTGACCAAAACTCGGATGCTTGTCAAATTTATGACGGTTGCGATGTTCCCAGGGGTGGGGTTATACGCAATCCCCTTTTGCNTATTTTCTCCTATTTCTCCTCCTCCTTTTTCTCTTTTTCTTCTCTCCTCCTTTCTTTCTTTCTCCTCTCCTTATCCTTTTCATTCCCCTCCTCCTCCTCCTTTTTTCCTTTCTCCTCCTCCTCCACCTTCTCCTTTCCTTCTTCTCCTTCTCTTCTATTTTCTCCTATTTCTCCTCCTTTTTCTCTTCCTTTTTCTTCTCTCCTCCTCCTCCTCCTCCTCCTCTCTCGCTCACACAACCCCCTCCTCAGACCTCCACCCTTGAAGACCTCTTGCAAGAAATCCGCACTCTGCGCCAGACCCTCCAAGACCACGAAAAGCGCATCACCGACCTGGAAAACACCCTCTGCGAACTCGCAGATGTGACGGACTAGCCTCTTGCGTGCCCAAGAAACATCGCACCATCCCGGAGAAAAGACCGGGCATCTCCCCCCCATCCATCTGCTTCTTTCTCAGCTCAGTGGGCATTTACAGGGAATGCCCCTGGCTCTCCCTCTCTCGTCCCTTTCTCTCCAACCTGACTCTCCTCAATTTTGTGACGGAAGCGAAGAAAACATCTGCCGTGGACGCTCGGGTGGGACGGGGAGTGTTGCGGGTAGGGTTGCTGTGATGCCAACTCACCTTCCGGTCTCCGGGGTGGGGGCGGCAGGGGCGAAGGGAGCGGAGCTGCTGTGAGCCAGAGGTTTGTTGTGAGTTTTGCAGTGCGAGAGGGACCTTTAGGATTTCAGGATTAGAAAGGGGTCTGGGTCTCTGTGGAGAGGGGTGGGGGGGGAAGAGAGAGAAGGGGGCAGCCAGACCCTGCTGGCGGGGGATTGGTTTTACCGGAGGGGTGGGGTGGGGGGGCCCAGGAGGATTCCCCAGCCCCTACTGGAAGGGGGGGAGGAGGGGGCATTGCGGCCCAGCAACCCTGCCCCGAAGGGAGGCATAGCTTTCCATGATGAATTGAGGAGGGGGCTGCCCGCTGCCTGTGGCGAGGGGAGGGGGAGCTGTGGCCTTTTCCCCATCTCAATTGCTGAATGTTGTACAGATGTTGCACCGCTGGGCCAGATGTGCTGCCAGGGGTGTGGAGGAACAAGGATGCTGGGTTACAGCAACGCCTCCCCTCCCCACATGCAAAGGGACCCCCTTCCTGGTGGGTTGGGAGGGGGGGGGAGAGAAAATGAGGCCATTGCTCATTTGCATATGCTGATAAATATATATATAGATATATATAATGTGGCTCATTTCCAATGGCTGATTATGATTCTTGGCTCCGAGTTATTTTCTTTGTGGAGGGAGGGAAGGGAAAACGGCCAAGCCTAGGGGCTCAGCTGGATGCCCTTGAGGGAACCCACAAGCAACCTCAGATGACAGCTGTGTTCTCCGTCCATCGACAGCAACACCGGCTGGGGAATTCTGGGAGTTGAAGTCTCTGGTCTATACTCTGCACGGCATCCAATGAAATATGCAGCACAGGCAGTCCTCGTCTTACGACCACCCTTGGGCCCCAATTTTCAGTGGCTAAGCGAGACAGCAGTGATTTGAGTTTTACCCCCCTTTCTTGCCGTAGTTAATTTAGCCAGACGGCCGTTAAGTGAATCTGGCTTCCCCCTTTTGTCTTGTCAGAAGGTCCCACCTGACTCCGGGAGACAGCGACCGTCATAAGTATGAGTCGGTGGCCAAGCATCTGAATTTTGATTACGCGACCATGGGGATGCTGCAACGGCTGTAAGTGTGAAAAACGGGCCCAAGTAATTTTTTCCCCGGTGCTGTTGGGACTTCAGACGGTCACTAAATGAACTGTTGTAACTCGAGGACTGGTGTGCAGCTCTCAAACTCTTCTGCCTTTGGATCAAATGTGTTACATCAGAAAAGATGCTTCCAGGATCCTGATTTCTGCCGTGTGGCAAAATACAGGTAGTCCTCGACTTACAACGGTCCATTTAGTGACCGTTCAAAGTTACAACAGACTTAGGAGTCGCTTTTTCAGCCTTACGACCCTTGCAACATCCCCATGGTCACGTGATCAAAATCCAGGCGCTTGGCAACTGACTCACATTTACGACGGTTGCACTGTCCCAGGGTCCGGTGCTCCTCTTTTGCGACCTCATTACAAGCAATGTCAATGGTGAGTCCAGATTCACTTAACGACCATGTCAGTAACTTACCAACTGCTGTGTTTGAATTAACAATTGTGGCCCAAACGGTCGTAAAACGAGGCAAAATTCACTTAACAAATGTTTCGCTTAGTAAAACAAAGTTTGAACTCGATTGTGGTTATAAGTCAAGGATTAGTTGTAGATATAATAACAATACATAATATAAACCTTCCGCCAGGCTATCCAGTCTGCATCTTATGACGGACTCACAAAGTAAAATATTTTAATTTTAATCTCTTTTCTAAAGAAAGCAGAGAGAGAAAATAGGGGAATTATCAGATCTGCATATCCAACCCAATGTATTTATTTTTAATAAAAAAATAAAATTTAAAATTTGGGAATGGCACCTTTCCTGGCACTGCATACCAAATATGACGAATGAATGAATGAAAACAGGTCGTCCTCAACTTACGACCGCAATTGAGCCCAAAATTTATGTTGTTAAGTGAAACACTTGTGAAGGGAGTTTTGCCCCATTTTTCTGGCCACCGTTAAGAAAACCACTGCAGCTGTTCATTTAGTAACACAGTCATTAAGTGAATCGGGCTCCTCCATTTGACTTTGCTAGTCAGAAGGTCGTAAAAGGGGATCATGTGACCCCGGGACACTGACCGTCATAAATATGAGTTAGTTGGCAAGCGTCTGAATTTGGATCACAAGACCATGGATATACTACGAAGGTGGTAAGTGTGAAAAATAGTCCCAAGTCCTTTTTCTCCTCATTGTCGTAACTTTTCAAGGGTCACTAAATGAACTGTTGTTAAGTCGAGGACTGTCCTTTTGCAGAATCACCTCTGCAGAACCTCAGATGAACTCCAGGAGGCACTACTGAATAGACATTTCCCCAAACTTAACTCTGCCCTGCCCCCCGGTGGCCGTTGCAATCGTTGCAACCCAGATCTGATTTCTTTTAGGTAGTCCTCAATGTACGACCCGCTCATTCGGCAAGTTCCAAATGGCCACTGCACCGAGGGGTGGGGTGGGGTGGGGGGCAAGGGGGGGTTATAACCTGACCTCGGTCGAGTCCATTTTTTTTTT